ATTGAAGTCTCCCAAAATTATAGTCCCTCCTCCTCTACAAGCTTGCATAATCCAGAGCATTTCATTGACAGTACTGTCCAAAGCTGGCGGTCGATAGCATATTCCTCTGTTTAAACCTGTCTCGTGTTTGCCAATGAGCCTGACCCAGATATCTTCACGGGGAAAGGAATGTTCAATTTCAGGAATTTCCTGTACATTTATGTTTTCGTTCACATAGAGTGCTACACCCCCTCCCTGCCTATTGCATCTATCCTTCCTAAAGATCTTATAACCTTCTATATTATATTCATCTCCATCCTCTTCACTAAGCCATGTCTCTGTAATCCCAACTATGTCATAGCCCTCACTAATGATAACGGCCTCAAGTTCTGGAAATTTATTTTTTATGTTTCTTGCATTTAGATAAAAACATTTCAGGTAATCGCAAATGCTCTTCCCCTTCGATTTCCCATGTGCCCGCTGCTCCAAGCCCCCCACTACGCTTTGTTGCTTTAAAAATATATCATCAATAGTGCATGTAACGCTGTCAGCTTCCATCAGGGCAGTCTGCATTTCCCTCTGTATAACACTCTCTAACCTCCCTGCCCCCCAAAGTCCCTAGTTTAAATAACTCTGTGCTACCCTCAACATACGCTGACCCTGTGCAAAGGTACCCCTCCGGTTCAGGTGTAGCCCGTCTGGCTTGAACAGGTCACCCCTGTCCCAGAAGTAGTTCCAGTGCCCCATAAACTTATACCCCTCTTTCCTACACCAGGTTTGTAGCCACGTGTTAAACCTCCAGATAAAATTCTGCTTCCCTCTGCTTGCACGTGGTACCGGTAGAATCCCAGAGAAAACTACCGTGGAGGATCTGCTCCTAAGCTTTCCAGCTAATTCCACAAATTTGCCTCGCAGAACCTCAAACCTACCCTTATCTATGTCATTTATCCCAACATGGACTATGACAACTGGATCCCTCCCTGCTCTGGCCAGGAGCTTGTCCGCACGCTCCAGGAGGTCTCCTACCTGGGCACCAGGCAGGCAACACACCGTATGAGACTCCTTGTCGCGCGAACAGACTAAGCTGTCTAATCCTCTAAGTATTGAGCCCCCCACTATCACTAACTCTCTTTTCTGAGGGGTAGAGGCCAACAGGGTGCCCTGATGCTCATCAGTCCCTCCACTCTCAGGGTCAGGAGCCAATTCGAGTTCCTGCAAGGGCCGGAATCGGTTGGACACCTCAACCACTGGAGGAGCTGTCACTGTACGGTGTGCACGCCCTTTCCTGCGCTGACGTCCTACAGTAACCCAACTTTCTCTCCCTGCCTGCTCTGGGATCCCTGTACCACCCTGCTTTGGCGTACACACCATTTCTCTAAACGACATACTACTTAGTTCCTCTAGGAACTCTACTGATTGCGAACTATGTTGCACCGCCAACTGGCCCTGAAGATCAAGTAATAATAATAGTTCACAAAAAGCAAAATCAGTCAGTAGCTAGCAAGCAAGCAGTTAGGAAGCGTACCTTACTGTGGTGCACAGGGATGCAAACTTGCTTGTCTTTTCGTTGTTTAATTGCTTTTCTTGTCCTGTGGTAGGACCTGGAGTTTAAATATCACTGCTGCCTCACAACAAGAAGGTTGTGGGTTCGAATCTGGCCTGGAGTCCTTCTGTGTGGAGTTTGCACGTCCTCCCCATGTTTGCATGTGTTTCCTTTGGATACTCCGATTTCTTCCCACGGTCCAAAGACATGCATGCCAGGCTAATTGGAGACTCTAATTGCCCATAGGCATGCATGTGTGGGTGAATGGTGTGTGAGTGGTATGTGTGCCCTGCGATGGATTGGCGAGCTGTCCAGAGTGTGTCCCTGCCTTTTACGCATAGTCAGCTGGGATAGGCGCCAGCTCCCCCAAGACCCTACTGAGGAAGGAGCAGTACTGATAATGGATGGATGGAAGTTTGAAGTATCTTTGAATTAACATCCCATAACTGATGATCTATTAAGATTAAACTACTCATGAGAAGTCATAGTGACTACATCATTTGTTAATTATGTGCAACAGGAATCCATGATACGTCCTGCAATAATTGATGAATTAAATCATTATGAGTCATGCATTAGTTCCAGTGGCATAACCAGAACTGAAAATTTGGGGGGTGGAGAACATCCCTTTAGTCCTGACTTGCTCTAAATCACTTTTCCTAATTAACAATACAACAATACAATACACCATCAGGTGTTGCTAGTTCTCTATATAACGTAAGACGACAATTATTCCTTTGGACGTGCAATTTTGTACATTTCAATCAGCTTTATTCAAAATTATGTACAGGCATTTCTAAGGTCAAACATTCCCATGCTGGAAATGACACAGATTAATTCCACCAGTTGTATACTCTGATGCTGTTGGGGCGTATTAAACTGAAACTATTAGTCATAAATCAGAGACAAGCTGTCAGAAGTATGTAACGGTTGGCACAATCCACACCTTTTAACTCACGATCACTGTCAAACTGTTCCTGTTCAGTATGCTTGAATATCAATCAAACAAGTGATTTGCTCCATAAACAAGGGTGACTGGCAAAAAAAAAAAAAAAAAACTTGGAAATTTATATTTCGGAAGCATTATTGCGTCCGTGAAATTCTGATGAAACGGCAAAGATTTGCGTCCACAAGGCTTTCTGCTTAATATGTTGCATTCAACTCTGCTTTGCAGGACTACATAGCCCAAGATTTTTCCACCCAAAAGCAAACTACATCAAACCTTCAAAATAATATCTCATATTTTTAAAAGTTTTATTGCAGAAAATGAAATTCAGAGAAAGAGCAGATTTTATTTTTAATTAGGGGTCCAAGCAGCAAAGCTGCAGGAACCATATTGTTTTTGCTTTGATTTTTACAGCCCAAGCACAATGTGCTGCAAAGGTCTTACTGTAACACAAGGAATTATTATTTTTCTTTTTCCTCCAAATGAATCATATTTATGAGGGGCAAGAAATACTTGAAAACTTACAAAACTTTGCACATGCATGAAAAGTGTTGAAAAATTATATATTTTATGGGTCTTGTGCATGAAAACACCTAAAAATGTCAGCAAAGTAGCCCTTATGATATGTTTCACTTAGATGTACAGACTTTGGTAGGCACATGTAACATCCCAAGACTAAAAAAAGTCTCTTGTTGCCATAACCTAAACCCAACTGAATATTCTGAATAATGTTAATAAACATGTGAATAAAAATTCCTTTATAACCCTTTCAGATCCCATTCCCGGTCATTTTGTGCACCTATTTAACAATATGCGTAAAAATAAATAAAAGAAATCTGTTTATATATCTCCCAACTTTTCCAAAATGTGTTTCAGACACAAAATTCATTATTTATATATATATATATATATATATATATATATATAAAGACAATAAATATTGTATGTTTGTTAAATATGTTGTCTTTGCAGTCTTTTTGACTTAATACAGGTCAAGGATTCAAGGATGATTTACAAATTACTGTTTTCTTTTTTTATTGCCATTTTTTATATCATTCCAACTTTTTCAGAAATAATCTTGTTAAATAACCTTGTTTCTAGTCACTTTTTCTTTTCACACATAATCTGTGGTCAGATTTTGTCATTTCAAAGGTTTCCTGCTCCTGAAAAACTTCTCACACAAATGAAACACAATCTGGGCTGACAGCAGTTCCATTATTTGTTTGGTTTTTGTCATGACAGAGCAGTTGTAACTCACCTTTTCTGGTTATTTGATTCTGAATTAGAATTTTGGGACTGATATAATATTGAAGACCTGCGTGCAAGTCATATTTTATAAAAAATGAGCTGACACCAGTAGTAAAAGCCACAATGGCCAGTGCATCACCTGATACCAAAGATTTCTTAAAAGAAGTACTCAAGTCCTGTGTATTGGGGGTGTTGCCACTGTCAAATTCACTAAACTTTCGTGCAAGAAATACCTGAATCCATAATGTCTGAGCAAGAAGTATCTAACTGTCACGACTGTCCAATCAAAATGCTTGTATGAGTCACATGACTAGCTGTGAAAATGGCAACCATGGAGGCTAGACAGTTGGCTTCATCCGTTAAATGCACTCAGGTTCAGCCATTTAGAGGTAAATGTACTTAAGTTCTGGTATTTAGCAGAAAAAAGTAGTTCAGTCCAAAACTGGAAACAGCAATAGGTTCCATAGTATGCTACCATGACAAAAAATACGTGCAAGATGTTTTGAAAACTTTGACCCTCAAAATCTCAAAAGTGATATTTTAGATACTTCTTGCATACAGATCTTCCATTGAAAATGAAAAAACCAACAGAGCTTGTGGATTTCCAGTAGCCATGCTTCAAGCGGTGTAATAGGTGGGGCTCAGATGAGTGGCTGAATACAGTGCATGGCCAAACCTCAAATGACTTCTTTTGGATCCAGGGATTTTTTTCATTTTTTTAGGCTAGGGCTGTCAGATCTACCCAAAGAAAATCTTGGTACTTTTGCATTCAAGATGATTCTGTTCTTCCAACAATTAGGGGAAAGCACTTAACTGTTTCAGCATGACAGTGCCCCCATGCACAGAGTGAAGTCTGTGCATCATTTCTGGAAAATTTGCATTGAAGCACTTGTCTGTCCAGTAAAGAGCCCTGACCTCTACTCCATTGAACAACTGGATGTGAATTTGCAGAGTAATGTTCCAACATCTACAGAGGGTTTTTAATTTAGTATTTTAATGTCAAATGAAACATTTTTTCATTGGTTATTTTCTGAGTAAATGTTGCATTTTAGTAAAACAAAACCTGCCTTAAAAGTCCAACGAGATAAATAACTTTAAAGATAATCACAATATGAGCCATTGAAACTCCCACAGCAGCCTTAAATATGAATTGAAGCAATTTATTCCAGATGGCCATTTTTTCCTTTAAGATTTTTTTTTTTTTTTGAGCTTTCCTTTATTTGACAGTACAGTAGAGATAGACAGGAAAGGCAGGGAGAAGAATAGGGAAGACATGCAGTTAATGGCCTGGGCTGGATTTGAACCCAGGCTGCTCCAGAAAGGTCTCAGCTTTAATGTGGTATGCGCACTTAACCATTGTGCCACCCGGGCACCAGATGACTCTTAAAGCACTCTGGCATACAAAATATTCTCTGCACCCCACTGTGTTCTATTTTTCTCAGTGAATCTAGTTGTATACAATTTGATTCCTTAGCTGTTGCACTTGTGTGTTTATTGTTCTTTGGAATATTAACTTTTCATCAAGCCATTGATGATCTCTTGTGGATACATAAACACCCAATCTCTATTGCTAGCGTGTGTTATTTTTCTGCCTTTGAGAAGCACTTACCATAAAAATTTCATGCAGATGAATGGGTTCTGCATGTTATGTTTCACCATTTCCTCCCAATAATTGAAAAAAAAAAAAAAAAAATAACCATGCTCAGAAATGACATCTCAGCCTATCAGAATTGGTTTGTTGTAAGTCGAATGAATTCCGTAATGAATTCTAGGTAATCTGACTGCTGAGTTTGCCTAGATCGGAAGAAGCTGTGACCGCAATAACTAATCGGAAACAGACAGTATACTTTGAGCACAATGTCCAGTCTTTTGCCAAAAACATCTGGGATTTGAATCAGAAACAGTATGAATGCACTACAAGCCCGATGTACGGTTTTGGCTCTGATCTGTAGATCAGACAGAACATGTTATGACAGCAAAATGAGCAGTTTGCTCAATAAAACATGAGAGAAAAACAATTCAGTCAGAAGCAGCTGCACTCAATCTACTCCGTAGAGCTGTTGTATGCTACTTTAGGAAGGGTGGCCATCACTCAGTCTACCTCAGCTTTTCAAAAGTTTATGTTAACAAGCGTTGTTGTTATTGATGTGCAACATGTGCAGCTTGCTATTGACTCTAATACAACAGCTCATTCGAATGCCGGTACTGCAACTTCACCAAAGAGAGGAGGAAGTATTACCAGGGAATGAGGGGGTAGCATTGAGAAGTCAAACGCACCAACGAATATGCTCGCTGTAGTATAGATTCTAGTGGATTTATAACCAAATTAGTTGCACAAATTACTTATGAGCAGAAACTAGATTCTCGTCTTGGCACTCCATTGTGGCTAAACTGAGTTACCCAGTCACGCATAGGTCATCCTATATATATATATTGATAAATACAGTTGTGGCCTTGCATGCTAAGAGGTGGGGCACCACGAAGAATGGCGGGGGGGCCTGCTCTAAAAAAAAAAAAAAAGAAAAAAATTGTTAATTCAATTGGCTTCGTCCAGACTGCACATCAGGTCCAGTGACTAAAGCACAAGGGAGCAATCATGTTTTTGGGCAGATCTTCTTCCAAACTCTCAATTTGCTTGCACTGCGTGGGCTGAGACCTCTGCTCCAAGGCCAGTTTTGAAAATCCACTCCAATCAACACCTCCATCTGCTCTGGTTATTAACATTTTGCTTGCAGACGTCATTGACACAGTGCCTGACTCCACGTTTGGGCTGCTGAATGAAAGGTATCAATCTGTCTCACAGCTCTAACTGATCTTAAAGCTGCTGTGGGCAACGTCAACACTCCAGTGCAGAATAAGCCTTTTATCACTCTGTTACACCCCTTGCACCAGGTGATGCACCAAACATGCACAGACAGTTTGGTGAGCTTGAAGCGGAGCATCAAGTGGCAAACCATTGTAACTATGCACAGTGGCTTGCTAAAATTATTCTCGTACTGACTATGCCCCTCAAAAAGAGGAACAAAGTGGACATCAGGACCTTTTTCACTCATATTCAAAGTGTTGGTAACATTGAGAACAGAGCCACACAAGAAAGAGATAATGCTAACTAGTAACCATCTGGCTATAGTTCAAAAATAGAGTGCAAGTTGACCGTCAGCACGACTTCAATTTAGTACATGGCATCACCCCAGTAATACTTACAATGGTTACAGACAAACTATGTTTCCCTGAATACAAAAGGTAAAATTACAGCATAAGCAAAAACCATCATTTTGACATGGACAAAAAATACCAGGATGCATAATTCGATCAGGTGACTGCTGATACCAGTGACTTGCCAGCAGGGGGATAAAAACCCTTCAGTAAATTCCCCCCATAATGCCCGATTACGCCAAACCAGTCTCATTGAGTTTTCCTAAATATCAACCAAATATTTATTTACTCACTAGCCGAAATTAATAGATAGAATTAATGGCCAATTTGTTTTTAAGGGGCATTATTGTACATTGTATCACATAGGCTAGTTATCAGACATTTTGTTGTCCACATTAATGATGTCATAAAATGGAAATGTCTTTGAAGATTCTGAAATCCTTCGGCAGCAGTTTCCGAGTGGCCTGGGGTTTTTGGGCCAAAGAAGATGCTACCCATTTTAAATGAAAACCACAATGGAAAAATGATCAGAGTCACATTTTCACGTTGCGGAGAAATGATGAATTAAAAATTCAAAACGATCTTAGAAACAAAATACTGAAAAAATTTGCAAAAAATATAAAATACATAAAATATCATAAAAATACGTATTATTATATATTATTATAAATATTATAATGATACACAATACAGTATATATAATATACAAAAATGCAAAAATTTTGACTCTAATTGTTTTTCCTTTGTGGTCTTCAAATGTATTCTATTTTACAAGATAGGAGAGAGAAGGAATGCACACCAGAGTTGGACAGTTGCTGACCACAGTAAAATTACAAATGTGAAAAAGGGCAGTCACACACTTCTAGGCACAATGCAATAATAACTAATTTACTAAATTAATTCCATTTTGAATGCTTTGACAAAAGAATAATATCGCCCTGCATCATTTCTACTGAATAAAATCCAAAACTTTTTTCTAACTCATTTTGGGGTGCTGATTACAAAAACAGCATCAGTTTTGCTCAAGCACATCACATTGTCTCACAATGCATGATACGCATTTCATAGCATTGTCACTTTTGACAACCACTCGTAAGGTTAAGAAGTCTTGTATCATCCCTTAATCATCACAAAAACTGCCATAAAGACATGATTTCCATATTCCTCTGAGCCAGGAGAGAAGAATTTGCTCAATTCTCGGCTGATTTTCACATGTATGAATTATTCTAAAGACATTATTTTATGCCTAATTCTGATTTCAGGCTTAGTAACAAGGCCACTGACAGAAGAAAATGCAAATACGATTCAGATGTCTTCTGCTATATCTGTGGGTGTTTCACTACACCCAAACAGCGTCAGAAAATTAGAGACTTTAAAGCCATATATGATATAATAAGGAAAATCTTCATTCATATTTTGTGGAAAAAAAAACGTACTAAATGTAATCTTATTTGCATTTTTAACTCTGAATCCTCAAATTAGATCATATGAGGCCTTTTTGGGAAACCAGCAAAAAAAATTTTTTCAACAGGGTGGTGTAATTTAATAAATTTATATGTATTACTGCCATCCTTACAATATGACAGTACTTTGTCAGTGTTGCCCACTGGTGATCCCTTTGCCATTTTTAAATAATATCTTTATAATTCCAGGCTTACATATTGGCTTTGATTATTCAGTAAGTAAATTGTTTGATCGTTAATCAGGTGATCTTAAACAGGAACAGGTTGAAAACAATTATGTATTGAAGGGTCAGAAGCTGATGGCACAGCACTGAAAATTGTTGGTGTTTGAGAAATTTAAGATAGGATTTATTTATATTTAGTTCTTAATTTGTCTCTATGACAGATCAATTTATTAACTGCAGGATATACTGCAGCCAAGTAGCAGTAGACCAGTGAGAGAGAGGCAGGCAGTGAAGGGATAGCAGGTGAGATCTTAGGCCATTTTCATATTCACACAGTGATTTATGGCTAAACTTCTTTCATTTTCTATAGTAGTCAACAAAGCAGGATACATCAGATGCCCCGTAAATGGGCAATAACTTTGAGCAGTACTGGCTATTAGTAGTTGAAATGTTGCCTATAAAATTTAAGAATTTCACCTCTTTTCTAACAAGTTGAACTAAAGAAATGAACCAAATATTGGGTCCCACTCACCAGTCCACATACAAACCATCAGCCTAAATATAGTGAGCACGAGTGCTATTTAGAAGCAAAAAGAAACAGGGTAATATGCTTATAAACTGCCAACACCAGTCAGACACCTATCAACCCGTGTCTGAGTGTAGCGATGATAATGACAATAATAATAATAATAATAATAATGATAATATGTAATTATATGTATATAATTAATAATTATATGTAACAGTAAGTACATGATTTAGCACGCAGGGCTTACAGTATACTGTATATGGATAAGTTTTACAAGACCTGAATTGCCACATTGCTTTATTTGCAAAAATGAATTACATGATGAATTCCCCTTTATTTTATCCATTGCATTGATATAGACAACTAAAACGATGACATCAACCCTGATTTTCACCTGACAGATGCCTGCTCTACTTGTGGATTTCAGGCCCTTCCCATTACTCTGCTGCCCTACTTGACACTGCTATATTTCGGCTTCTGGCTTCATCAGTTAGGTTGGCTAATGTATTACAAAACCACACAGCATTGCGAGTGCTTGTATTTACCAAAGTCTACAGTTTTCTTGCCAGCTATGCCTTCGTCAACTTCCCGAAAATGCCTCTTCCCTGTTTATCAGATTTCGCAAAACAGCTCGGTCACCCTATTTTTGTATGACATCTTAATTCATGGTAAATGTTGGAGATTTTTGCTGCAAGAAAGCCAGACCCCTGAGCAGCGTTTTTCCAAAGTTTGGATGTGATCGGAGCAATGGTGTGCCTTGCAACCCCAGACAAACAGACAGATGGTTAGAGAGAGGCACCGCCCGTTTCAGTCCTAGGAGTAACTGTAAGATTCACTGTGGCTATGTAGCAGTGGAGCACAAAGAGAAGAGATAGGTCATAGTTCAAGTTCACTACTATGGTGTGTGTGTGTGTGTGTGTGTGTGTGAGCGTGTGTGTGCTTATTCATGCGTACTTGTGCATGCGTGTGTGGCTGTGCGTACATGTAAGCCGACAAATGAACAGTATTTAAAAGCTATGCCTTCCAATTCTGAAACTAAGCCAATACCTTTGGGAGCCT